TATATACGCACATGGAGCCTTAGGTCATGCTTTGCAATGGGATGCAGGGATGTAGCATTTTCATGCCAAGTGCTTTACAAGCTTAGAGAAAGCTGAGCTGGCGCTCCTGATCGTGCCTAAACCCTAAACCCCTAAACCCTAAACCCCTAAACCCTAAACCCTAAACCCCTAAACCCTAAACCCCTAAACCCTAAACCCCTAAACCCTAAACCCTAAACCCTGAACCCCTAAACCCTAAACCCCTAAACCCTAAACCCTAAACCCCTAACCCCTAAACCCTAACCCCTAAAACCCTGGAAAGGCTCAAGGTCTGAGAGACTCTTTTCCGGTTAGATGATTCCTCGGGAGATTACATGAACTAGGATACCCAGTAACCCAAGAATAAAAAGGCCTCTCTTTTTTGGTATTGGGTAACTTTATAAGGAACCTAGGACTACAAAAAGGGAATAAGGGTACGGGTACTACTGGGCATCCTAGATGTTGGGCTTTCGTACTTGGTACTTATCTTAGTCTTCCCAAGATTCCCTAACCAGCTTGTAGGACAAAGCCCCACAAACCGACAAACCAAATCCAACTTAAACCTTACACGGCCCTTGACTTGACCAAGAACCCTTACGCCCTAAACATCCTTAAACCTTACCTATAGTCTCCATTGTAGTTCCTTTTTGGGGTTACCTTTTAGGATCCCTAACATAGAATTGGTTAAACCAAAAAAAGAACTACAATGGAGACTATAGGTATAGTCCAACAAACCTTCATCCCAAAACCTACGCCCCCAAGATCACCCCCAGAAAACGAAACGATAAACCCTAGAACCCCACCCCAATATTCTGTTTCAACATCCAAGACCTGAGCGTTACACAGTGGATCATAGTGGCTTTAAGGTTTAGGGGAAGCTGACCCGTGACCTCAAAATTGATTCCCCTTCCTAATGAAACAATGACCCTGGAACAAGAATTGTTGACTCATTCGGATCAACCCAAATAGGTCGTGAAGCCGCTTGCAACCCTAAGCGCTCAACACCTTCATCACAGCGGGCATAAACATAGGCTAGTCGATACGCGATACATGCTGTGAATCAGAGCTTGCGTATCTCCCATTCCATAACGACACCCGGAAGGTACACTCGTGAATCACGTGAATATTCGTAAGCAATGTGTTCCATGTGTACATACACTTGCTCAATATGAACCCTACGATTTAGAAGCACAGTGCAAACAGCATGCTCGAACGGTTGGTCCCTGGCCGCCGCTGCGACACGGATGTCGAAGTCTGCCAGCGACCTGACATATCAACGTACATCATGCGGTATGTGATTGTGTATCGCACGATGATAAAGTATGTTATTACAACCGTAATGGGTTTGGCAAGTTTCAAGGTTAGGGCCTCTGGAATGTGTCCAATCGTGCTCACAAAGTGCTATTAAGATTCATTCGAGTATTGAATTTACATTTGAGTGCCCTGTTTTGGGTTTAGTTCCGTCTTGTGGACGAGCCTGAACATCCAACTCAGGCTAGAGTAGGCTCCGACAGTGAGTCTTGAGCTGAAAGACACTAGGCTAAACACAGCCAACCCTCCTGCTGTCGGGCTGCGGAACATCAGGTTGCTCCTGCTCGTGTGGTCTTCAAGTTTTTTCATGTTCTAGACTGCTGATCGCTCAACTCAACAGACACGAAACGCTTCTCTCACAAAAAGAGCGCTTTCGTACATGCGATAATAATAGCAGTTTACAAGCTCACCCCGAGAACTGCAACAGTTTTTGAACATGCTAGCTTACTCTGCCTTTGTGTATCATATGTAGCGAAGGAGACTATCTGCTTAAGATTTGCGGAGGCCCTTGACTGAAGGCCATTTTTTTGCTGCATTGTTTCCGGAATCCTGCACAAATAGGGTCCTAACCACAAAAGGTTAGTGAACGAAACAGAAAGAACTACATTGAAGGGTCTAAAGTTTAGAGTCTCAGCGGCATGCATGCGCGCATGCCATACCATACACCCGTGCATACCTGCATGCATACAAGCAGACATGAGTGGTTGCACACATGCATGTGCGCACGATTGCGCACGTATGTGTTTATACATGGGTATATGTCGTATGCAGGCATGCAGGCATGGATGTCTGGCTGCATGCGTATATATATATATATATATATATATAGATATAGATATACACATACATACATACATATATACACGTGTATGTGTATATATATATATATATATACATACATATATATATATATATATATATATATATATATGTATATTTGTAAATGTAGATGTAAATGTAGTTGTACCTGCAGACTGTCTGTAAATATACATATGTGCACACACCTGTCGCCCTACATCTCATCTCACTTCAGACCATACCATAAACAAACATAGCACAGCATAGCACATCACTTCATATGTGTATATATATATATATATATTTATGTAGCCAAACATGGTGTGGTGAATGAGTGGTTTCGTCATGACCTTGCCGCAAGACAAAGCGAGCA